GCCCAATAAGTACATAAGACCCCAACTTCGAACAAAACCAAATAATCCCATTTTTCAATTTGGCGCAACAGCTAGCTACTAATAGTCCGTTGCCTTTTAGGGTCTGAGCGAGTAAAGAAAGGGTCGTACTCCCTTTTCCACTGGCTATTGAACACATCGACCTAATCATTAAAGACCACTCAATTAAAAAAGAATGGAGAAAACAAGATAAAGAAGTGATTAAATACAATTGATCAACAACATACCATGGTGAGCAACAAGTCGAGAGTCTTGTCCAATCCATTCGACATGTGTGTTTTACTCTGGCCCTAAAATTAATTAAAGAAGTGGTTTTAAGATCAAAGAAATCCATCTAAAACAAAATTACGTTCAGTTCTCAAACTAAATGTTATACCTCTTCAAATCGTCGCCAGAAACCCTTTCTTTCTCGAACAATAGAGCGACTAGTCTTAGCAATATATACATCAATTTCTCCCAGCATTACCTTCTTCTCATATATGGGACAAAACTTATGAATGAGCTCGTCAGCCTCAGCGTACAATTTCTCAATCGGAAATTGCTTTACCAACTATATTAATTTATATCATAAACACATCAATTAGCCCAATTTGAGATGTGAAAACAAAAGAAAGAAAAAAACCACTATAGGTAAATAATCTTTACCTCAATCTGGTCTTGGATGTACCGTTTGCAAATTGAAGGATCGAGCGATTTTCCCATTTCTTCAAATAGTTTCTTTTTCTGCTCTTCAATTTCAGAAATTTCTTTGAGAAGAGGAGAAGCTTCATTGTTCGCTTTAGTTTCCTTCCAAAAGAAGTACTGATGACCACCGGTTTTCGATAGCACATTACGTTTATTTGAGATTGAAAATGTCAGAGAGTGAAGAGAATCATCAGAAGAAGATTGTTCTTATTGTGTGTGTAGTCCAGTTATCACAAATTCCGGATATGAGAGCTAGAGCTGTTCCGGAGGCACCGGCCCCACCACACAACTTCCTCTTTATCCAGAACCTTTCTCACCAAACAATTATTATTATTATTATTATTATTTTTTTTTATTATTTGATTAAAAAACAATTATTTATAAACTTCTAAAGTTGTTTGCTTATGCTATTAAAACAATTTACTAATTGTTTTTAAAGAAATTTTTTAATGAGATACAAAAGAAAAAGATAGTATTGATGTTAATATAAATAATTTGAAACAATTGTTTATAATTATGTAATTTATATTTATTGTGAATTATTATTAGTTGGTATTATCAATAATTATTATATAATATAATAGAAAAATACATGATTACACTTAATAAGATGTGCTACTGTGAGAAGTTAAGAAAAAATATATATAATTTTGTAACTTAAAATAGAGGGAAAATTTTAGAGGTTTTATTAAATAGGTAAAATTAAATGCTAAGCTAGCAATTATATATATATATA